AAGTGTTTGCCGCGCAGTTAGTTTATTCAAGGTGGTCAACAGTGGCTCCATAAGTCATGACGAGGATGCTCGCGACTAGAACTTCCATTGTAATAATCGTAGTTGTCTTATTCGCCTTTTTTTTCTCATTCTGAAGCTTGGAGGAGACGTCGTCGTCGAAGATGTACACCGAGAGACTGTGAGGTTAGTTCGTGGTCGTCATAGAATCAGTGCACCGCAAACCAATGCGGACAGAGAGGGTCTCAATCTCGATCAAGAACGGAAATATCTTCCACGTCTTGTGGAGGAGCACAATGCCCTGAACTTTACGAAACACGGCAGTGTTACTCAGCCAAACCATCTGACTGCGTAGTTGGTCCGTGGTCTGAGTGGAGCGCTTGCACAACTCCTTATGGAGTGTCAGGAATACAGACCAGTCTCCGTCACAGAACAACTGTGGAGCAATGCCGTGGAACATGTACATCTACTTTCTCGAAAACACGATCCTGCCCAGAAATCAGTCGTTTAAATGGAGGAAGCGTGAAAGATGGAACATGCTTCTGTAAGGAAGGTTATGGTGGAGATTGCTGCGAGAAAGGAGGTAAATTGAACAAACGTTTATTACAACATTATAACAATGAACTGGGTGAGTGATTCTGCTAAGGGTAAGATGAGAGTAAACCCGACCTAGGGAAAAAAATTTGATATCAATTTTATCTTTACTGGGAGTGATTTTCCCTCAACAGTATCCTTGTGTTACAGATACTAAGTAAGAAGGGTTAAGTTTGGTCATAAGGGCTTACAATTTGTGAAGAAGCGTCTGAGTTCCAATTTCTTCGGGCCTATTATCTGCTTGGAATAATGACAAAAAATCGGTAAAGCTCACTAAATTTATGATCATATAAACGTGACCTGACTGACCTTGATGTACTCATCTCGTTGACTAAAATATTTTCATTTTCACAGGAGAAAATAAAGGTGTGCTTGCAGGTATCTTAACACCTTGTTTGATTGTTGCTCTCGTTGGTGCAGTCGTGTTCTATGTACTTCATAAAAAAGGGAAGTGTTGAGTAATGGAGCGCGATCCTGAGATCGAAGAATGCAGTTCAGTTCACAAATGTAAAACTACAATCGAATGACCACACGCCAATGTAGCAACGATCACGAAAGAAATGCAGTTTGCCGAATCCACAGTAAAACGGAAAAGAAGTTCATTACGATGGCTTTTCTATCTTTAGGAAGCATCTAGTGCATGCCATCGAAAAATGCACAAGTAGGCAGCAGTGAAGCTCAATTGAAGCACCACTTATTGTTGTAAGCAAATTATTTTGAAATGTGCATAGAAACCTGAGGCTAGTCGTTGACATAGCTGTCATTCCTACTGTTAAATAATGAAAATGAAACGTTTGTCATGTTGATCTGAATGAATTTATCCTGCAATGGTCGGCTTTAGGTAAACTGAACTAATGAGTATGAATGTTATTGCCCACCCGATGAGATCCGTGACGCTACCAAACCAAAGCTAGTGAAAAAGTATCATATTTTTCGGCACACAGCTGCATGAAATTCGATTGCGTGAAGTGGAGTTTCTTTCCTCTCAAAGTTATGTAACGAACCCGAGAATTACTCAGATTTGGTAGCTTGGCACAATTTCGGGTGCAGAAATTTTTCATCAACGCGCTGCCCATTTCCAATCAAAATCTTGATGAGGATACCGGACAAGGCCTCACATAATTCGAAACAACTAAGAATCTACAGAGCATCAAATGTTTTCATCATACAAAATTCTATTTCCGCAAGACCTTTTGGAGCTGCAATGTTTTGCTTGTTCTTGAGGCGATGCTAGCTTTTTTAAGTTACCTGGTTAATAACAGTTATATCTTTTCTAATTATTTTCAATTAAACCACTGAACACATTATAACCCCATGATGTTTCTTCGGCCTCTTAAGGGGACAAAACGATTTGATATTCAAGGAATAGCAAACAGACTAAGGCAAAAATCTTTATCATTTATTCAATAAATAACAATAATGATGCGCTTACGGAAATTTTGATATGCTCAAGAGCTGAGAACACACAGTAATCCTTAATCAATCATAAAGTTGAAATTTGGCTCAAAAGTTGGATCAAGTCGTAGTAATCAATTGCAAATTATTCCTAGAACAGTTTGACATGTTAGCGTCGAACTAAGCCTCATTGTTGATATTGTCTTGGTCTAATGTTGCTGAATACAATTGGTTTACGCCGTTTACATGATACAGCACATATCATCTCAATTTGATACCATCGTCTCTATTGGAACTTGAGTTCGTCATTTAAAAATATACGATAACTTTCAATCACACGAAATTATGAGAGCTCCAAAATTTACTTCTCATTACGCAAATGATTTTGCCGAAGCGCAATAATCGATCGATTCGAATATAGGTGGTACGTAAGAGTGTAAGGGTTTAGAAACCTTAATTATTAGATTCACGCCGGTATTAGTTGACTTTCGTTGTTTTCTCTCTTTCTCTGCATACTTCACTGACATTTCCGCCACAGTAATAATACTAAATACAAAAGGTGAGTTAGAATCTACTTTATCTTGTGTTGATTCAAGATACAAGCCTGAAGTTTCCTAAGAATTCTAGCCGCGGGAGAAAATAATAGAGGCTTTCCATGAATCCTAATTACAGTTTGAATGGTAACGGATTGGCCTTCGAAAAATAAGAAACAATACAGCAGTGTGTTTCAGAAATAATGTGGGGTTCGAAAGTAAGAACTAATATGCTTTCGGGCGATATATGCTTTGAAATCATGGATTCATGCAGAGATTGGTTTGATATTCCTTTCTACTTGTACTGTCTGGAACAGTCTCTAAACACTGCCCGCTATTGTACCAAACATTCCGATCAATTCTCCATTTTAAATTTAAAATGACGTATCGCAATTCTTGCTATTAGCAAACTTTTTCCCAGACTAAGAATCTAGTCCTTTGTGAAATTTTTTCTCGAAATATGTGACTGACTTAAGGTTGTCCCGAAAGTTCCTGTTCAAAATGATCTTCCAAAATTAAGATGTGCTCGACTGTTATGTGGGAGTGGGGAGGCGGCTTATAGTTTTTAAGTTTTCTTCAGCTAATTCCCGGAGAACCCTTCTTTACAGAATATGTTCCACCTCTTAGACCTCCTCTATTAAAACACCAGGGAGATGGATAGGACTTTGTTTTTGTGAAGAAAGATGAGCATTTACCACCACACTGCTGCGGAGAGCTGTACTGTTTTTCTTTTACACCACTGGGAGTAGTACTAGCGCTCCATTTTGAACAGTAGCTCAGTTTACAGTCAACCGGACCACTCCCATGGCACTGCCGAGTCTCGAAAAGGTTGTCAGAGCATTTTTCCCCTCCACAAGAAGGTTGGGATGCTATCATTCTAAATCGACCTTGAGAGCCTTGTTCTTCCCATTTGTCTACCGTGCAAAAACTCCAGTAAGTCCAAGACGTGACATCACAGTTTCGTACTGAACATTGACAATTAGAAGTTGAAAAGAAAAACATTGGCAGTATGACCACAAAGGAAATTTTAGCCAAATCATCTTCAATGTACTGTTGTGCAACTATCTTTCAAATTTCTGAACAAAACTAAGTGCAAAACATGGATTTAAACGGGACTCCGGACTTTTCCAGCGTGATTTCCACGGGGAAGTCATACTGCAGCTCTTTTTGCAGGTGATCACATGATTTGGAGACCCGTAGGGCGGGTGCAGTTAGTAGTGTTGAGAAAAAATTACGTGATTACTTGCTAATAATGTGCACGCAAAAATTTTACTTTATTTTCCTATTCGTCGTGTTTATTTCGTATCATGGCTTACTAGTGCGGCCACTTGTTGTTGCCGGAATAATCGCGAGGTTTTCCCCCAAGAACTTCTTTCATGATCAAGCCTTTAAACTTTCTGTTACGAATAATCGAGCCTTTGCACTCTTTTCTTAGATAGTTATTGCTCATTTTTAAATTTGTAATGTTCTGACTGGTTCACTCAACTCCGGTAATCAGTTCGTATTCAGAGTCACTTTGCATGGAAATGCTTGCGCCAGCTGGTTCGGACGCGTTAATACTTTTTGTTAAATCCGTTTTTGGAAAACCAAGGCTTTCAGATGCACCCTTTCAAACTGCAATATGTGATCAGTTGTTTGCTGTCTAATTTATCTGGAACATAGCCAAAAGAGTGGGGATTGGGGGTGCTTTGACAAACAAATTATTTGGATGTAGCTGTTTCACATGTCTGGGACCAACAAAGCGTCCAGTTGATCACGATATCTTTTTTCGGCGCAAATGGGTTTCTTTACAAGCTCACCCGCTTTGAGAGCACTCACTAAGTTCTGATTGTAAACAGTCTCTTGGTTTTTCTAGTCCTGGACGAGCTGACGACATCAAAGATCGTTCTATTGAATCTTCTTCTCTCTGTCAACAACTGATCTCAGGAGATGAGTTTTTTTGGGCACAATAGCCGAGTTAAAAAAGAAAACGATCTTAATTTAACTTTGTTAGTTAATTACACGCCAAGAAACATTTCCTGTGGCTGGCTGGTCATTTTGTCTGTTAACCATTCTATCTGTTTAGGAGGGTCAAAACAGGTTAGCTATCTATCCAGGTAGCCATTACTGATTAACGACCGAAAAGAAGCGCAACTTTGATAAGTTTGTAGCAGTTTAAGTTGGAATCTACAACAATGAAGGCATTGATATATCTGTTTGCACTTTGCATTCTTGCTGAGGTAATCTGAAGGTCATAGACATGAATTCGTCCAAAAAGAACTATGGCAAACTTGCATTTCAATGTTTTAAAGAAAATGCTGGCTCCACTTCGCATCTGATTTTGACAACATCACCGCCGACGAAAGGAACATTATTATTCATGCCAAAAGCTCGATTTTAATCCACAAACAGCAACCCTGGCAAAAAAAAGGCAACACTACATTTGACGTAACCATGGGCAGCTTCGACGGCGCCGAAACCTGTGAACTTGTCGGAAACTTCCTCCTGTCCCAGCTACAGAATCTCAACATAAACATTGGTCTATACCGAGACGACGGACTTGCCACAACCGACGCCACACCCAGGGACACTGAAAATATCAAAAAAGAGATATGCCGCATTTTTAACGCTAACGGACTCCGCATCACCATAGAAGCTAACAAACAAGTAATCAACTTCCTGGACGTCACATTTAACCTCAGCCAAAACACCTACCAGCCATATACCAAACCNACTGCAGACAGTACTGTTTCGGCCTTCTGGGCCTCATCAGTGCAGTGCTAATGCTAGGATGGGGGAGAACCGAGACGGTCACCCCAAACGACCCAACCTTTGTGGTATCGTCTAAGCCATGCCAGAGTGCTCAAACTAGAGTAAACCAGCGAGCATGCGCAATTGCAACGGCAATGACTCATCCTAGATAGAGTGCTCAATTTGGACATGAAAGCAAAGCTTTGTATGCCAAAGAGCTATATCTAACTGCAGACAGTACTGTTTCGGCCTTCTGGGCCTCATCAGTGCAGTGCTAATGCTAGGATGGGAGAGAACCGAGACGGTCACCCCAAACGACCCAACCTTTGTGGTATCGTCTAAGCCATGCCAGAGTGCTCAAACTAGAGTAAACCAGCGAGCATGCGCAATTGCAACGGCAATGACTCATCCTAGATAGAGTGCTCAATTTGGACATGAAAGCAAAGCTTTGTATGCCAAAGAGCTATATCTAACTGCAGACAGTACTGTTTCGGCCTTCTGGGCCTCATCAGTGCAGTGCTAATGCTAGGATGGGGGAGAACCGAGACGGTCACCCCAAACGACCCAACCTTTGTGGTATCGTCTAAGCCATGCCAGAGTGCTCAAACTAGAGTAAACCAGCGAGCATGCGCAATTGCAACGGCAATGACTCATCCTAGATAGAGTGCTCAATTTGGACATGAAAGCAAAGCTTTGTATGCCAAAGAGCTATATCTAACTGCAGACAGTACTGTTTCGGCCTTCTGGGCCTCATCAGTGCAGTGCTAATGCTAGGATGGGAGAGAACCGAGACGGTCACCCCAAACGACCCAACCTTTGTGGTATCGTCTAAGCCATGCCAGAGTGCTCAAACTAGAGTAAACCAGCTAGATATATATCGACGAAGCTAGTGCTTCTGCCCCGCAACAGCTGCACCACTAGATTCACGCACTGTCATTAAAGACGAATTTATCGTATGGGAAGAATGCTGACGAAGAGTTGGGTAATTCCTACTTAAAAATTCCTACTTAAAAACAAATGCATGTGCAAAAATTAAAATCATCAACTCTGATGACCGTGCGAAATTTAATCAATGACAACAAGATAATGAATGTCACGAATCTGATTGGAGATCGTTTCACATCGTGGGAAAAACGTTTACAGATGATAAGAATCTCATACCAAACAAATATATCACATTTTAAATAACCAGTTTGTGATTTGTCTTTCTGTTTCTTCGAAATGAATAATGAGGTCACACCAATAGGTCAAACATCTTTTTCTAGCAACAGGAAGCGTTCAGAACTTTTACCTCGTGCTTAGTGTATTTTATTCTTGCCTTAAAGTAGAACCTTTCCGCTTCAGTTTTACTAGTCAGCTTATTATCTTCAGGCTCAGCAAACACTTTATTATGATCTTCTTAACTGAACCACTTTGCGAATGATTAATAGTTATCTTTTTTTGACATCACAAATGATAGCTAGTGTTCGGGTGTTTGTCGCTAAGGAAGTCGTTCGTCCTTTTGACGAGAGCGTAAAGCAAGTTTTTGAAATCCTTACTATATTGAACTAATTGAAAGGACTATTGGGCTCATGCGTATATCTTAACTAAAGGCTGAATATGACCTTAGATACCCATATTAAAGTATACCGGTGTCATGAGGCCTATCGATTGGTTCTCATGAACACTTGCTAATCTGAGAGTAGTACAGTTTATCTACGCCTCGCGAACTAAAGCTCGTTTAACCCTAAATTCCCATAGACTGTGTTAAAAAACGCACCTTTAGAACTGCATTTTTCTCGGTCATTTGATACTGATTTTTTCAACCTCCTGTTTTTGAAGCTGCTTTTGTCTCACTTTAAAGTTCAGAATAATGTCCCCCACACATCAAATAATCAAACATTAAAAAAAGAATAAACTTATACATCCTAATTACCCCAAGACAGTTCCTCGATGTGATATCAGATGACAACATTATCTAGGTTACATGATAAAGCTTTCTGGAAATTGCTAGCTACTCCTTTTTTCCAGTTAAAAGAGTATTTCGTAAAATTGTCGTCTAAAGATGCCTCCAGATTGATTCATCTTGGGGATATCATTGGTGCAACTTGTTGAGGATTTATTTTACCTTCTGCATCATTTTGCACTGTGTACATTATCCAAGCCTGAATTCTTTGGCTACCCCAGCGAAGGATCGAGCTTTTTACTATTGTTCACTTTCATTCACAGTCGGATGTCGCTTACATGACGGCAGAGCGACGTTAAATGAGTCAGGACTGAAAATTAAAGGAGAAGATTGGATGGCTAAAGTCGGGACGAATACCCCTCTTCCACCCCCATATCTTCAATTCATGGGGGCACTTGCTTACAAACTGAACGACTGAAACGTGCAAGCCTGCTTGATAAAACTCAAGGGAAACCTCCGCGAAAACAAAACGCATAAAGAGTACGTGTTTGGAACTTGTAGCAAAGCACCCCAATTCAAAAACTACAGTTGAACCTCTCCACAACGGCAACCTGAGGACAGAAGACCGTAGCCGTTGCGGAGAGGTGGCCGTTGTAGGGAGGTTTCAAATGAATGTATTGACTGAGCCGGGACTAAATAACGTGGCCGTTGAGGAGAGGTCGCCATTGTGGATAGGCAGCCTTTAGTGGAGGTTCGACTGTATTACCGAGTACCACTTAAAATATGAGCTACGCTAAGATGATAAATAGCAGCGCAAAAGATTATTTGCTTTAAAGTTTTTTCAGGGAGAACTTATGTAAACACCTCATAAGAACTTGAGAGGGATCTCTTACAAGCTAACCAGTGTATTTTCTCTCTGTAGTTTTAGTCGTTGTTTACTTCACTTTATTTATTCCATCAATATAATACAATTTATTACGGCTCCCCTATAGAGGGCTATTCTGTCGCAATACAAAATGATCAAAGCACAACGTGGTCAAACAACATATGAATATAACAGAGCACCAACAGAATATAAACTTCAGTTTGTGTTCTCTTGGCAAGTACTTAAAAGATAAAGTTATGATCTTCTTTTTCTAATTTTTTACTCTTTACATTTATTCATTAGCATCAAAGGACTTTTTGGAGATTTAGAAACTTAGTTTTGAATTTTTTTTTTAGAATGGTAGATAACGCTATCTAACGGACAAATCGCTATCCAACAGATAAATCGTTATCCAGCGGATAAATCGTTACCCAGCGGATAAATCGTTACACAGCGGATAAATCGTTACCCAGCGGATAAATCGTTACCCAGCGGATAAATCGTTACCCAGTGGATAACAAAACTTGCTGCGCTAACTAATGGATAGTGATTTATTCAATGCTGAGCATTATCCACCCTTTAAACAACAGGAGCCTGAAGTATTACAATACGCCTGCGCGTGAGTTGAACGTCCTCGTTAACAAAATGGCGGCTTTTATATATGAGGTTGCCCTTTTTTTTGTGAACGAATCCGACGATCCCTTCCTTTTTGAATAGTATCATTTCTTAGTGGGCTCACGAAAAACAGTCTTGGAAGATAAAGAAAGTTAGGCGTAAGCTTATTATTTACAAGTGACGAAAAGCTCTGGATTTAGAGCAAGAAACGATAAAGTAATGTATTGATCAATTCGGAGCTCCAATATTCTCCCTAGGTACCTTCCCCTCCCTACCTCCCTCCCTTCGGTATTTGAAATTTCTTATGATTAGTCCGCTTAAATTTTCCTCGCCTGGGTCAAAATTGTGATCATATGTCCCACCCAAATGTCTATGGATTTGATGGTCAATTTTTGGGTTAAAAACCTAAAACCTAAACCGTGTAAATCATTTCTTCTGAGCCATCCTCTTGCGGAGGTCAACTCTTCACCTTTTAATACTTCCTTATTGAAAGATTAAATATATGTACTCGACACTTCTTTTTCAAATTCCCCACCCCACCCGGGTAAGGTTTATATTCCTCACCACCGAGCACGGATGACAGTCAAATGCCCGGGGGTTGCTCGGGGAGGCGGGGGGGATGCTAAAGCTCCGAATTGATCGGTGTATAAGGCTCCATTCCTTTAGGCGTTTGCAATTGAACGCGGTTGAGAGTAGAAAATTGGTAAATTCCCGCGCCTCGATACGATCCCTCGAACTAACTTGTGCACTGACTGGAATTCTAGCTCGATTCTTTGTATAGCCTGTGTCACACTTTTGTTGACGCAATTTGTCGTTGTCCTACTTTTACGCTTGTTCAGTCCCATTACAGTTAACTTGGCAAAGGCTATTCCTTACTCTAATTTTAATTAGCTTCCTGTACTGCAAAAAGAGTTGGAAACTGGAAGAAGCTCTACAAATATTTGACAACTGGTTTCATCTATCTCGCTTGAAGCGTTCTGAACTTATGCCTTTGCATTTGTGGAAAAGGCAAATAAAGCAGCTTTGTTAGGATCCACATTGAATCTAAAGGCCTAGGTTCAACCCTTCTGGAGGCCTAGTGGTCCTTCACCTTGTAAATACAAATACATACCATGATGATGAAAATAAAACCGGCTGGCACTGTCAGCCCAACGACCAGGTTTTTTGAATCTGAGGATTTTTCTGTGAAGGAAAAGAAGTTTGATAAGTAGTCAAAAGAAAGGTAAACTAGTCAAACTACCAATAAGTCTTCTTCACTTGGCTTTTTCATTTGCTACTTATTGCATTTCAACTTTAGGAGGCTCCCCAGAGTTTCAAGACTGCGTTAGCAAGAAGACGAACATATCGATCCTTGGAAACTGATAGATGAAGCAGCTCTCAGACTAGTTTTCTGTCGTAGGGCATCGAACTGTGAACTCCACAAACCCAAAAACAAATGACAGCTTTGTTTATACCAAAGGATCCTTCAGGGAGTCTGGCTATATGATGTAAAGAATCAGTATGTGTTCACCTAAGATCTAAGTGTTAAGCAGTTTGTAAAAAAACTGCACATACGGCTATCTGAGAAGAGTCTGAAATATTTGTGCGAGGTGTGTCTATGTTCGTTTATTTTTATTATGTGTTATTTTGTTTGATTGTTTGTTCGTTTTCTAGCTGAGAGGGAATCCGCGCAGCTTCAGCGTCAAAAATTTTTAATTCAATTTCCGGCAAAAAATGTAAAAAATTTTAAAACTGTCTTTCCGAAAATAAAAGCATCGACAGTCATACGCCCCATATGAGGTCAAAATAAATTATTTTGTCCAGTGTCATACCTGCCCCTTGAGACCCACTTATTAGGAAGTTGGACTAAGTGCTGCTGGATGTTGAAAGTGTTGTTTATGATCATAGCGCAATTATGCATGTTTTTGTCAAGACTGACCTTTCTCACAGCAATCACCAGAATAACCTTTTTCGCAGACACAAGCTCCATTCATTAAGCTTCCTCCATTTAAACAACTGATCTGAGGGCAGGCTCGTGTTTTTGCCAAGTTAGATCCTCCGGGGCATGTGCCTCCACATTTCTCTGTAACTGTACGGTGACGAGTGCTAGTTTGCTTTCCTGCTACACCACACTTTGTAGTACATGGACCCCATTCCGACCAGGAACTAAGTTGGCAGTCAACTACTGATGTAGGTCCTCTGCAACGCATCACCTTCCCTTCAAATCATATCAGAAAAAATAAAGATTGTAACGAAACATCAAATTCCCGATCGAGACTCAAGCAAGGCGGAAACTTCTCTACGAGAATTAAGTGTCATATCCTGCAGAGCAGGCGTAATATTTTTTGTTTTTCTGGCTTACCTTTGTTCGCTTGAAAAACTCACAAAAAAGAAGAAGAAGAAGAAGAAGAAGAAGAAGAAGAAGAAGAAGAAGAAAAGAAAGCATTAACTCGCTTGTTTTGCAGGGTATAGGGGCTTTGGTAAGCCCTTACGGTAATTACGCTACGCATTTTTCATTTCGTGGATAGGATTACAATAGACGCGACACACGATCGTGTGTAACGACGGTCAGAAAACAAAATGAATCTATTGTCGAGAGAATTTGATTGAAATACACTCATTTACGAGGCCTTATTTTTCTATGAGTGAGACTGATAAGACTAAAACACGAAAGACTTCATGTAGAAAACCGTAAATCTTTGAAAACTTTTCACTCATGAAATCCTAACTGAGATAAGTTGTCTACTACTTCACAGTCTGATTTTGGACTTCAGTATCACACATAAATCCAAATCTCTTTGCGATGAGTCACAAGACCATTCAAAGCAATCGTATAATCGAAAGTAAAAAGCGTTTAAGTTTGGTGCCTTATATCGCAGTCGCGCATCGCTCTGGGCACTGACATCGACGCCATCTCCGGCAAGGAGTACTATTGATTTCTTGCTGTCAGCATGCTCTCTTCCAAAGTAAGAATCCATGCCCCCAATATTGTGTCAAAATTTTCTCCAAATAAAAATTAAAGAGGCGGTTGGTCTCAACTTTTTTTGTATGCGATAAGCTTCCAAACTCAAGCTGTGCCCGAATGTTTCTATTGCGAATATAGCCGGGGAGGCTTATAATTTAGTTTCTTCAGTTAATTACCTTGAATCTGGCAGCAATCACCGGAAAACCCTACTCTACAGAAACATGCTCCATTTTTTATACTTCCTCCATTAAAACAGCCAGGATGTGGACAGGACCTCGTTCTTGTGAGGTAAGATGAGCATGTACCGCCACACTGCTCTGTAGTTATTCGGTGACGAAAGCTAGTCTGCTTTCCTGATACGCCACACAGAGATGTGCAAGCGCTCCACTCTGACCAATAGCTCAGTTCACAGTCAACTGATCTACTTCCATAGCAACGCCGAGTTTCGAAACGGTTGTCTGGGCATGCTGTTCCACCACAAGAAGGCTTTGATACTATCATTCTTGATCGACTTTGCTGGCCTTGCTCTCCACAACGGTCTGCAGTGCAATAACTCCAATATGACCATGATGTTATATCACAGTCTCGTACTGGACATCGACGACGACGGCGTCTACGCCAAGCTTCACAGTCAGAAGGTAAAAGGAACCACACTAGCAGCACGATCATTAGGGAAATCTTTGCCGAACCCATCTTCGGTATACCATCTATGGTACTACTATACCGTTCACAGTTGTAAACAAAACTATGCACCACTCAAAGAAGGAAACGAGCCTAACTCCCAGCAAACACAACTTCGGACTTTGCTCGCGTGACGTCACAGCAACCCTTTGACAAAAGGCAGCGTCAAGGGATCCGCTCAAAAGACATCACTAATACCAAGTCTGACCTCATGGCATGCATACCTGTCAAACTGCAATATGTGATTGGCTGTCTCAGTGTCCTGAACTTATCTGGTTTCAATGTGATTCTTTTATCAAAGACAACGGAGCGTGTTGTGTCAACAAGGTCAACAGGCGAGTTCTTTTCGGGCAGTAAAGACTACTTGATTACATACCAAGGTCTGGCAAACATTTCTAGCTTGTCTGTTAACCGTCATTTCTATCAAAAAGGGTCTAAACAAGGAATTTGGCATTGGTAACCATTAACAAACAAAACTAAGCATACTTTTGGATATATCAAAAAAGTTGAAATGGTAAATTAGCCACCGTAATGATTACAAAAGCTGACGTTTCGAGCGTTAGCCCTTCGTCATTCGCTCCGACGAAGGGCTAACGCTCGAAACGTCAGCTTTTGTAATCATTACGGTGGCTAATTTACCATTTCAACTTTGCTGATATATCCAAATTATTTCGTTACTCCCACCGACGCAGCCCCAAACAGTTTCTTTCGAAACTATCAGCCTTCAAGCATACTTTTGATCAGTCCTTGCGCCAGTTTAACTAGAACCAAGGCAAATGCAGACATGAATAATCTCTAAATTTGTATTTTTTCCTTCTATATTCTTCGAAAAGGATCGCGGTGTGGTCTCGTAAAGTTCTCATTGAGTTTCCATAGCAACGAAATACCTTCGAAATATCTGTAATGACCTTACTTTCTTTTGAAACGTTCAGCACCTTCTATCTCGTGCCTGGTGTGTTCTATTCTCACATTTAAGTGAAAAACCAGCAGAAAGCTGAATACAAGACCACGAAAAAGTTCTTGCTGATGCCTGGACAGGTTGAGCAGGGATTGGCATCAGCCCTTTCAATTCGGCTTTTCTCTGTTTCGATGATCTACATAACTACGCCTCTTTGCATCAAGTATCTTTAAAGGAGAAAAGGCATCTTTGTCAATTGAGGGTGTGTTCAAATTGAACTGAATATGCCAAGTGTTCGGTTACGCAAAAGCAAAATTGAGAGAGACTATGACTGTCCGTAGTTTGTGAGATTGAAGGTGATCAGCTGTGCTCTAAGGAATTAAAATCAAATGGATAAAATCTTAGAGATTTCTGAAGATTCTCAAATACATGGAAAATCTTGCAGAAATTTATATTGTAGCCACTAAACGCGATCAGTTTGAAAATTATAATATACGACCTATTAATATCGATTTACTGCGGGTAGATGCAAATTTAGGCCTCACGGAACAGCGTACGCACGTGAGTTCAGGGAAATTTCAGACATGCGCAGATGACGTCTCTTGATGTGTTTACTTCTCCCCTCTATGCTTTTAAAACTTTACCGTTGAATATCTTATCAAAACACAAAGTCTCTGGTAGTTTAATACTTAAACCGCGAAGACTGCAACGGAGTTAAGGATTCTACCGTTTTATTTTTTTTCTTTTCATCGACTTAGTGGTAGAAATGCTATTTTTTCGTACTGTTTTGTCATTCATTGCGCGTGGTGTTTATTATTTGGAATTTCGAAACGGACAAGTTCAAGAATTGGCATCGTAGTTTCAAGGCAAATTGAGGTTTGGAGTCCACTGTTGTTCGTATTAAAGTT